ACTTAATGGAAGCTCTGAATTCCATGGACCCAGGAAAAGAAGCTCCAATTTAAACAATAGCTCTGCCCTCAAGGAATACACTTTTCAAAAGAGGAGGCAATCATTAGGCAGACAACTGTAGCTCAGTGTGAAAACAGCCTGGAAATGTAAGCCCAGGCAGTGCTGGGAGCTTGAAGCAAGGGCATCTTTCCAACAAGATGCCTCTGTCTAGGGAGTAGGGAGATGGGCTGTAAGATGATGATGATGATGATGATGATGGAGGAAGAAGAGGAGGAGGAGGAAGAAATAAGTTAATATATATTTAGTGCTTAACTCTTCCAGGCTCTGTTCTTAGTGCTTTATACTGTTATTTAATTCTTAGGAGGCAGAAGCCATTATTATCCCCATTTAACAGGTAAGCAAACTGAGGCACAGAGCAGTTCAGAAACTTGTCCAAGGTCACACAGATAGCAAGAGGAGGTGAAAGTATTCTAGCCCAAGCCATCTGGCTCCAGACCTCATGCTCTTAACTACCATGTGTTTTTAATGGTTATTTGGGTATTTGATTATTTTTAATGTTGTCATAAAACCCACAAGGGATTCCTTTTCCTCCCCTTCTCTGAAAATAAATTCAAACTTTGTTGATATTTATAAACACAGCAAATGTGAAGGGTGTAAAGCTCATTAAGTCATGGCGTGGTTTCAGTTTTGGCATCTGGGGCTACTTGGGATCCATGGATGGAGACAGCTATAGAGTCAGCTTTGCAGAGCTTCTTTGTACCTTTGTCTGCTGATTGAGGTGGAGGCTGGGAGCAGGTGAGAGGGAGAAAATCTTTGTCCTGGATTCCTAGTCCATAAAAAGGGTGTCCCAGCATCTTTGCAGGCAGCTTCTCTGATGACCAGCAGCCTGCCCACAGCTAAGGAGGCTTTGACTGGACAAAGAGGAATGCAGCAAGCTGGAAGTCATGTGGTCTGGGTCCTGTGTTCCTCGTGGTTCAACCTAGCATGGGTCCTTGAGCTGGTCATCTGGTTTCCCTTCACCTAGACAGCAGTCCGAGAAGCTTGTCTGCTCACACGCCGGGAAGGGCGGGGCTGGGAGTTGAGGCTCGGGCTTCGGTCGGAGCAGGGAGAGGACTGGGGTTGGCGGCGTGAACACAGCCTGCAGGGGGTTAGTGCGCCACGGCTCGCCGGGAGGGAGTCCGGGGAAAAGTCTGGACCGTAACAGCCAGGCACATTGTCTGTTCTGTTCAGTTGTTCAGTCTGTTGGTAAATATTTCGAATATGACTCCTGTGTAGCTGAAAACTGGAAACAATCCACATGTTCATCAACAGTTGAATGGATAAACAAATTAGGGTACAGTCTGTCAGTGGAGAGGCCTTCCAGGAGCAGTCTTCTTAGCTTTGCAGAGTCAGAAATCTGATTTTGTCAGTCCATGGAGAGTTTAAACCACATACCCTGTCTGAGCAGAGGCTTGGCCTGCACTCGGGCCCTGGGAGCAGAAGGTCATGGCATCAGTGGCTTTTCCCAGTGGCTTCATTTCTTCCTGAGCTTTCATGTGACCAGCAGGACTGCTGCATGGTGCTCCAGTTTGATCATTAACAGAGTCATGACCATTCGCCCAGCAGTTGAGAAGGGGCTCTAGAGCTGTGTGTATTTTAGCTCAGAATAAGTAAAGAGACCAATAATAATTTCTTAATATGATCCAATACCTAGTCTTTTGTCAAATTTCCTCTAATTGTCCCCAAACTGTTTTTAATAGATTTTTTTAAAAAACCAGGATCCAATCAAAGTATTTGCGTTTGATTGTTATTTCTCTTTAGTCTTTTAAAATCAAGAACAATCCTGTTTTATTTTTCATGACTGACTTTTTAAAAGTCCAGGCCAGTTGTCTTGTGGAATGTCTCCTATTCTGGATTTATCTGTCTCCTGATGATGGGCTTTAACTCATTCTTCTAACCCTCATATTTTCTATAAACTGGAAGGTAGGTTGAAAGACGTGATTGGATTCATTCACATCAAACTTTTTTTTTATTTTTTATTTTTGGCTGCGTTGGGTCTTCGTCGCTACACATGGGCTTTCTCTAGTTGCGGTGAGCAGGGGGCTACTGTTCGTTGCAGTGCGCGGGCTTCTTGTCGTGGTGGCTTCTCGTTGCAGAGCACGGGCTCTAGGCATCAGTAGTTGTGGCACGTGGGCTCAGTAGTTGCAGTGCGCAGGCTCTGGGGTGCACAGGCTTCAGTAGTTGTGGTGCACGGGCTCAGTAGTTGTGGCGCATGGGCTTAGTTGCTCCGCGGCCTGTGGGATCTTCCCGGACCAGGGATCGAACCTGTGTCCCCTGCACTGGCAGGCAGATTCTTAACCACTGCGCCACCGGGGAGGTCCCACCTCAAACATTTTTGGCACGACTACTTCAAAGGTGACATTGTGCAATTCATATGGCGCCACATTGGGAACCATATGCCAGAAACACCTGTCCCTCTATTAGCGATGCTGGATTTGGTCACTGACTAAGGCCATCACCAGATCTCTCCCTTATCAAGGTACATTAGGGAGTAACCCACTGGGCAGTACTTAGCACCATGGGACTGTCCTGTCCCCTAGTACCTCATGGTTTTAGTATCTGATGATGATCCTTGTCTTATACAATGGAGCTTGCAAGATGGTGTTTTTCTAGTTCTGTCATCCCTCCTATACTTACTCACCAGCATTCTTCTGTAATCCCTGGACAGGTTTTTCATCTAGTACATTAGTGACCATTTTCATACAGTGTTGGGGGTTTAAAGATCTGTGAAAGTCCAGCATGGAGCCTGGGTTAAGAACTCCTGCTCCAAGTGATGAGGGCGCCTGATTGTGTCAGGTTTTGTGTGGATGGGGAGCTGTAGCTGAGCTCTTCATAGTCCTTTTATTCATCTGGTCATTTGCAACAGAATTAAATTCCCAGCCCCAAAGATAAACACATGCCATCCCCCTACAACAATAAAAGAAACAAATAACCTTAGCCTTTGAACTTCCAAGCCCCTCAGCAAAGTGAGTTGGTGAAGGGCTCCAGCACCCACAGGAATCACCAGCACCAGGACCCTTTCCTGTGTTACACCTCCAAGTGGCTGGGTCAGGCTCGCTTCCTCAACAGACAAACCAGGGAGTTGACCAGGCAATTCTTAGGATTTTTACTACCCTTATTAACATTCTAAAAACTTTATTACCTTCATTTACCAGTTAAATTCCTTGATTCTTTCATTTGAGCTTTGTAGGTACAGATCTTTTCCACACTCTTAAAGTCACACATCTCTAAATCCATTGGAGCTTCCAGTTGGAGTTCATTGTCAGCAGAAAAATAATCCCTTACATTTGTACAGTACTTTCACTTTATAAAGCACTTTTTATATATTGCTGCATTAGATCCTCAAGAAGTAGACTTTGTGTTCCTGTGTCATTTTCTCTTTGGGGCTTTATTTCTAGCTCATTCATGTCACTACAGTGAAAGACCTTGAAGGCCACTGAACTCTGCTGTAATGGACTTTCATGTACATAGCCAGTAATCGGATTGATTTGCCTGCTGTTCCAAGGGCTTCATTCCAGCCTCGCAGTTACCTGCGTGCCCTGTCTGCTGGCTGTCTTCCCAGCGACTGCTTCTTGCCTCCCGTGGGTCCTTCTGTGGGTCTGCGGCAGAGCAGGTTCCCCAGTTTGCCCCACGAGTCTCTCGTTTGCTTTAACTCTGGAGCTCGTGTGTCACTATGGCGGTTCATTCTCACTGTAAATTTCCACTCTTGCTCTACTTGTGCTTTGAACACTCACTGGATTTGGGAACTGCGGGTGCTGGGTTCTCTCCTAGATTCCCCCTCTATACCGCACTTATGCTTAGTATTTTCAACATAATTCTTTTACTCAACCCACTTAGAAACCCTTAAAGGTAAGTATCACTCTCCCCATTTTACGGATGGATAAACTGAGGCTCAGAGTACTTAAATGCGTTCTCTCTTGTCACACAGTGTCAGGGGCAGGAGGAAGCTGTTGGGTTAGGTGTGCTAAGGCTCCTAACCTCAGACAGGAAGTGGGCCAGGGCTGCAGAGGTAAACAGGACTAAAGTCCTCTCTGTGCTCAGCTTCTGTGCTCCCTCTTACGGCCAAGCCCTCATCAGCACATCACGGTCGCAAGCCACCTGAGGCTTCCTCCCACGTTGGTCTCAGTCGCCCTTGTTAGCAGTAGAGCAGCCAAGCCAGCTGCACAGGGGGGCACAGCTGAGAACGAGTCCGGTGTGGTCAGGCTGTGCTCTGCCGGCCTCTCTACCCAGGTCTCTCTCTACCCAGGTCTCTCTGGGTAGAGACCTGCTTTCTGGGGGAAGTGAACCAAGCCAAAACTTCAGCACAGCCCAAGGAAACATCTATAAAGGAGGACACCAGAACTCAGACTCTTGACGCTTCTTGAGTCTTGGTAAAGAACCTTAGTGCGCTTAGTCCTTGACACCTGAGATCTACAGGGAAGACAAAGGAGTCTCTTGACTCTGTCAGGGCCCCCCATGAACAGTTGTTCAGCCCATGCACTGCAGAAGTGAGGCAGCACTGTGCACATAATAGACATTGTAGATTTGTATGTTATGACAGTTTTTCAGCAGGTAGTTATCTGGTGCCTTGTTCTATCATAATTGGTATATTAGAGCAATTTCCCAACAGATGGAAGGAAAGGGTCTTGAGGTAGGAGTGCTTTCCCAACAGCGTGGCATGGGCTGGTGGCAGCTCTGCTCTCCCTTCTACCAAGCTACCCTCTCTGGGCCTCAGTTTCCTCATCTATAAAATGAGGGCTTTGGACTTGAGGATCGGTAAGGTCCTTTCGCTCTGACTCTGTGTGAGCCTCGTAGGAGCTGCTAAGTATCTATTGATTGACTGATCGATCGCTGGGGCTGGCAGCTTTGTGCAAGGCTGCCATTTCTGCCCCTCTGCTGTGCCTGCTCTTGACTCCGTGTCTGGTCTCCAAGGAGGAGAAGTCCCCACCAGTGAACAGGGACCCCTCTGAGCTCAGGACACCATGGCTGCGTTGGCACCACTGCGGAGCCTGGAAGAGGAGGTGACCTGCTCCATCTGCCTTGATTACCTGCGGGACCCGGTGACCATTGACTGTGGCCACGTCTTCTGCCGCAGCTGTACCACCGACGTCCGCCCCGCATCAGGGGGCCGCCCTGTCTGCCCGCTGTGTAAGAAGCCTTTTAAGAAGGAGAATATCAGGCCAGTGTGGCAGCTGGCCAGCCTAGTGGAGAACATCGAGCGGCTGAAGGTGGACAAGGGCCGGCAGCCGGGGGAAGCGGCCCGGGAGCAGCAGGACACGAGGCTGTGCGAGCGGCACCAGGAGAAGCTGCACTACTACTGCGAGGACGACGGCAAGCTGCTGTGTGTCATGTGCCGGGAGTCCCGGGAGCACAGGCCCCACTCGGCCGTCCTCGTGGAGAAGGCAGCCCAGCCCCACAGGGTAAGCCCTCCTCACCCCCGCAGGGAGGGATGCTCTGCTTGGCACCCACCCGGAGGCGAGGCCTGGCGCAGACCCCTCAGAAGGCTTCTCGCTGGCCGAGGACTCAGCCCGAGTCCACCCTCCTGCCTCAGCCCAGAGCATCCCCACTGCTTGTCTTTCTACAGGAAAAAATCCTGAACCACCTGAGTACCCTAAGGAGAGACAGAGACAAAATTCAGGGCTTTCAGGCCAAGGGAGAAGCTGATATCCTGGCTGTGCTGGTAAGTGAGGCTGTTGAGGGAAAGCTCTGAGGCAGGCAGCTGGCTCCCTGGGAGAGGGAGCCCCGACTGGACTGATGGCCGGGAAGCCTGGGCTTTAGCCCAGGTCCTGCCGGTCTGAGCTCTATGGCTCTGGCCTGCTTCCTCGTCTCACAAGTGACTGGGTTGCCTGGATGTCAACTAAGGTCCTTCTCGTTCTGTGACTCACCGCAGCTGCAGGGCGTGTCTGCTCAGCAGAGCCAGAGTGTAGGG